GAAGATACAATAATTTCAATTCCTGCCCTTATTGTTAAAAACATGCCTCACAACCTTCTATCGGTTGGAAAGTTAACAGAAAAAGGTTTACGTGTTACATTTAGTGAAGATGAAGTACGAATTCAAAGCAAACATTTTGAAATCAAGTGCAAAAAGTCTAAAAGAAACTTATATGCAATAAAACTAGATTTATTAGAACCTGGAAATGCAGGTAATTCCTTAGAAGAAAGTGTAAATATTTGTAAAATCAAAGCCGATCTATGGCATAGAAGGCTAGGGCACTTAAATAGACATGGAATAAACATTTTGGGGTTGCCATCTTCCAAAGAAAAATGTGAAAAATGTATTGAAGGTAAAAGCACAAGAAGAAGTTTTCTCACAAAAGCGAAAAAGTCAAAAGCAATAGGTGATCTTATTCATTCCGATCTTGTAGGGCCAATAAATCCCCCCACTTTTGATGGTGCAAAATATTTCCAAGTCCTAGTGGACGATTTCTCGCATTTTACAATGGTTAAGCTCTTAAAAGTAAAAAATGAAGCCGAGCAGAACATTATAGACTTTATACAATGTATCAAAACTCAACATGACCGCAAAACTAAAAGAATTAGAGTCGATAATGGAGGTGAATTCTCTTCAATTCAATTTAAAAATTTCTGCAGAACAAAGGGAATTGAAATACAATATACTCAACCCTATACTCCACAACAAAACGGCGTTTCTGAACGCATGAATAGAAGTTTATTGGAGAGAATAAGAGTCAAAATAGCCGAAACAAATATACCTACTTTTCTATGGGGAGAGGCACTTCGTTGTTCAGTGTACGAGTTAAACAGATGTCCTTCTAGTGCTATACAGTATAAAACACCAGCTGAAATTTGGTATGGTAATAATGACCTCTCAAAATTAAGAATTTTTGGTTCAAAAGCATGGGCATTAACAATTCCAAAGCCACAAAAGCTTGATCTAAGAGCAAAGTCAATGCTAATGATAGGCTACTGCGGTAGTGGCTATAGACTATGGGATTATCAACAAAATAAAATTGTAACTTCCACAGACGTTATTTTTGACGAAGAAAAAGTAGGATTTAAGAAACAAGACAAAGAAGAGAACATTTTTATAGAAAATATAGATAATGAAAACATACTGGGAGATACAGACAACCAGAATGAAAAACATGTTAAAATAGAAGAGAGTGAAAGCGTAGAAGAAATTAGAGAAACTACGTCTACTACTAAATCAGGTAGACATATTAATAAACCTAAATATTTAAATGAGTACGAAGTTTATTCAGCATATTGCCTTTTAACTAAATGTGGAGAACCTGAAAGCTTCAAAGAAGCAGAACAAATTGAAGGTTGGAGTGAAGCAGTGAAAAAAGAAATAAATTCTCTTGAAAAATTGAATACATGGGTTCCAGCGGAGTTACCAAAAGATGCCAAAGCTATAGCTACCAAGTGGGTTTTTAAACTTAAAGATGATGGTACGAAAAAGGCCCGACTTGTGGCTAAAGGTTTTCAAGTGAAGGAGGAGAACTCGCTGGACACTGTATACTCTCCTGTAGCAAGAATGTCCTCCATAAGAATGTTATTAATACATGCTCTTCAAAACAACTGGTGTATTCAACAAATGGATATACCCTCCGCCTTTTTAAATGGATACCTAGATTCGGTGATATATATTAAAATACCTGAAGGAGTAAGTATAGAAAATGGAAATGTACTACAACTAAATAGATCTCTATATGGCCTAAGAGAATCACCAAAATGTTGGAATAACCGTTTCAATGAAGTTGTTTTAGACGAAGGTTTTGAAAGGTCTAAACACGATTTTTGCCTCTATATAAAAAGTAATGTTTGGATGATAGTGTATGTAGACGACATAATTATTACAGGAATGAAGAAAGAAATAGAAGAAACAAAGAATATGTTAAAAGTCAAGTTTGAGGCTAAAGATCTAGGAGAAATTGCAAAATTTTTAGGTATGTCTATCACTAGAACCGAAGAAACTTTAAATATAAACCAATCAGAACTAATTTTGAAAATATTGAAAAAATTTAACATGGAAGAATGTCATGGATGCCAAACACCAATGGAAGTTAATTTTCAGATAGTTGCAGACGGAGAAATTATCGAAGTTCCATACAGACAACTAATAGGTAGCTTAATGTATCTTGCTACAACGTCAAGGCCAGATATCATGTATGCTGTTTCTTACCTAAGCAGATCACTTGACAAACCTTCAGACCAAACTTGGAAAGCAGCAAAGAGGATACTACGTTACTTAAAGACTACTGAAAATTTTAGTTTGCGTTACAAAAGAGGAGAAAATTCTCTTGTAGGCTTTGCAGATGCAAACTGGGCAGGAGACACTTCGGACCGCAAAAGTGTAAGTGGATGTATAGTATTCTATTGCAACAATTCAGTTTCTTGGTCATCTAGAAAGCAAAACTGTGTCGCATTGTCATCCACCGAAGCAGAATATGTTGCTGGTTCTGCTGCTGCCCAAGAACTAATGTATTTAAAAGGTATTCTTTTAGATTTTGGCGTTACTACTGAACCTACGTTGTTAATGGACAATGTTGGTGCAATTTGTATGTCAAAATCATATGAAAATTCTAAACGTGTAAAACACATTGATATCAAAGAACACTATATCAAAGATTTGGTCATCAATGGTCAAATTAAAATGGATTATGTTAACACTAAAGATAATGCTGCAGATGTTTTTACAAAAGCATTATGTAAACAAAAATTTTTAAATTTTAGAGATGTTTTAAATATTGTACCTTGGTAATGGTATTATGTGCTGTTGAGCGCTTTTCAATTTTTCTGTTAAAAATTTCAAATCGAGGAGGAGTGTTGAATCTATGCAGCACATAGTACACTTACTATATAATATATACAGTATGTATCTATGGTTTCGTTGTGTTTTTTGAATTGAATAAAAAGTTGTCACTTAATAAAAAAAAAAACGTTTTGTCATTCTCAATAAAAATTTATTATAAATTACATAAAAAAGGTTACTGGTTTAACTAAATAGCTTCCAAAGGGAAAAATACTTCATTTAATTCCTCGCAGATGAGACGAAGCAGATGCTTCAAACTCAATCAGCTGATTGTCAGAGGTCTCAGAGGTGTTGAGATTAAACGAACGGACAAGTCGATCACTCGAGCAATGTTAACCTATAAAATTCTGATTTTTTAATGTTTCATGTTATTATTTTTCAATGGATCCAAATTTAATGCTCCCTATTGTTCAGCTAGGACATGAGCTAATTATGGAAAGTGATGATGAAGAGACTGATAAAAGAAGTGTTGAAAAAGTCAGTAATTTTGCTGAAGAAACTGTGCCAAAGTTCTCCAGTAACCAGTTTAAAGAACATTTTCGAATGCGACCAGCTGTTTTTATAGATGTTATAACAAAATTACAAGAATCTGTTAAGGATGTTGTTCTGAACAAGAAGGGCCATCCAAAGCTAGACCTGGACAAGCAGCTTATGATGACCTTGTGGTACCTAGGCAATATTGAAAGCTTTCGGTAAGTACCTTGTTGTATTTACTCATAATATGCTTGTATGTTCATTATAATTTACTTTTTAGGTCAGTTTCATCACGATTTGGAGTCACTAAATCTACTTGTTGGGATGTTATTACTCGAATCTGTCAAAAATTGCTAGAGTTGAATAGCAAATATAAAATTATTAATTGGCCTAAAACAGAACAAATTCAGAAGAACGCAGAAGCCTTTGAGAGAGTAGGAAGATTTCCAGGTTTGGGTATTTTACTTGAACTTTAGGTCCTTTTTCTTTATTACATTCCCATTTACACAGTTACACTTAATATCCAATGAAGATACAATTCACTTTTTTTGTTGCAGGTGTGATTGGGGCAATTGATGGTTGTCACATAAAAATCTTGGCTCCAAAAGATTTCCCCAACTCATATTACAACAGAAAGAAGTTTCACTCTGTTCTCCTTCAAGGGGTTTGCAATAAAGATAAAATGTTTCTTGATGTTTATGCAGGAGAGCCCGGCTCAATTCATGATGCTAATTTATTTAGAAAATCAGATTTATATGAATTTTTATCAAATACAGAGTTGTATGGTGATAGTCATATTATCGGGGATTTGGCTTATCCATTGTCAAAAAATGTTATGGTGGGTTTCAAGGACCTGGGCAATCTTGGGCCAGTAGAAAAACATTTTAATCTAAAACTGTCAGAAATCAGAGTTGTTATTGAGCACGCTTTTGCACAACTTAAGGGTCGCTTCAGAAGGCTAAAGTATATGGAAACGAGAAGACTAGACCTAATATGTCTTATTATAGTGGCATCCTGTATTTTACATAATATATGCATACTTAATAATGACATTTTTGACATTGATCCATTGGAGGGCGAAAATAATGAAGCCGAGCCATTTGAGCCAGTCATAGCAAACAGGAGGAATATAGAAAGACAAGAAGGAGAAACAAAACGAAGTCGTATTGCAAATTTTTTATACCAAAATAGAAATGGTCACTAAAACTTAAAATGTATGTATCTATAGAGTTCCAAATAAAATGCACCAGGCTATCTACATACAGAAAATCATAGGATATTTCAAATATTTGCAATAACTGACATTTAACATTCCTGGATTATCTGCTAGAAATAAGAATTGCTTTAACTTAGAGAATCCTGGAACAAATATGTTGAAAAATAAAATTCCTCCTTGCATAAAATGGCCCAACTTTGTAATTTAAATAGTCATGATATTGCCATGTCTCATTATAAGTCATATAAAATCTCACTTATTTAATATTAAAAATTTTTTGTTTTTTATGTAAGATTCTTTGTTGTATGCTTACCTCTTTCCTCTTAATGATTAAAAACGTATTTATCGATTTTTTACAATGTTTTGTAATTGGGTATTTATACCTTGTAAAACAAATTAATGATAAATAAATTTAATCAAAGATATTGCATTTTTTATTTATTTATTACAAATTATATAAAAGTAACCAAAAACTAAAAATTCGAATTTTTGAATTTTTATTAACTGTTATATTCATCCAAAAAAATTTGAAAAATGATAACTGAGACATAACAGTTTACATGGATTCTTATACAGTTTTCCATATGGTGCATGCTTTTTGGATGACCCTGTATGAGTTTTAGTTGTTTCTGTTTTCTAGCGAGTTAACTAGTCTCTCAAATAGGTCTAGGTACCTATCTTGCCTTTCCATTTTTTCGCGATGACGACGTTCAACTGTATTATCTAGTTTTCTTTTTCTCCTACTATGGGAAAATTCAAATGCTGACTTTGGTGTAGCGGGTTGACCATCATCTGCAGTAGAGTCATCATCATCATTTCGAGTAACTGTGGACTGTAATTCTAAAAAAAGTTGGAACTGTAAAGTGCTGTTCTCATATTAAATTTAATATAACATCAAGTTTGTTGTCTATAGGTATATTATCTATATGTGCTGTTAATTTGAAAATAGATACTGAAAATATACCTCATACTAACATTTAGCTACGTGATTACTTAATATAGTACTTACGTGTCACTGGTCCCCTATTGACATCTCTAAGACCTTGAGCATTACTGCAAGTAAAAGGAGCTGTTATTTCAGGATTTCTACCTAATAATTCTTCCATTGCATCAAAATAACTCCAATATTTGTAATTATTTCCTGAAGTGTCATTATGCTTTTTTATATTCTTGTAATATTCCTTTAAACCTTTAAATTTAGTGTCACACTGAGTCCAAGTAATACAGGTATTTGTACTCTCACTTAAGCTTTTTGAAATTTTTTTCCAAACCACTTTTTTAATTCCACTTTCAAATTCATTCTTGTGGATCTTATATAGATTAATTAAATTTTTTATATTTGCATCAGTCCAAACCCTTATGTTATTTGAGGTACTGGGTGTTGTATCTAGGAGTGCTGGTTCCGTTTCTTCTGATATGATTTGTGAGTCTTCTTCGACTTCTGCTATATCTAAAAAACAAATCTTAGTGAATTTGATGTAGTCCACGTACCATAATATATTTGGGTAGACATATTATGGACGTGAAACGTAAAGGAGACTGATGTATTAGACATAAAAAATCTGATGTGACCAACACATGTCTTTCCAGTGAATATAGCAACTTATTAAATAATCAAACACACACACAGACAGATCATGATTCATATACTTCCAGTGACCAATGGAAAGTAAAAAACTAAATATGAAAACATATTTACAGCATTAAGTTCACAAACATACCTTCTGTGTTGCTGCAGACGGGCATTACTAGGTTTCTTTTGTATAACTTGTAGTACTTCTCAGTTAATTCATTAAAAAATGAAGGGTCTAAAAAATACAAGTTTTATTAATGTTCATGAATTATTATAGTGAGTTTATTTTTTAAGACTGCGTACCTACTAGTACTCACCTGTTTCTGCACGATTAATTTCATAGTTTGTTAGATTTACAACAAAACTGCAGCCGCTACTGTGGATAAGCTTAACTTTTGTTAAAGTTTGGGAACCAATTTGATTTTCTTCCATCGTTAAAATATTTTTTTAATGATTTCTCAGCTAATAATATCAAATATATTACAACAATTTACAAGATATCATTTAAAAACAACAAAACCATAACCTAAAAACGTCTATCAGCTGATTGAACCTCGCAGTAGGGATGCGCAAAATTTTTAAAACATCGATGTTGACACCAAATGATATATCGAATACAGACTATCGATGTTGTAAAAAAATCGGAAAGAAAACATCGATTTTTGTAAACATCGATGTTTTTTAATAATCGAACAAATAAACAAGACAATGGAAAAGATCTTATTTTTATTTTTTATTATTATTAAATAGGTACTCAGAGTTAGTGGCTGCAAGGTAGTACAATCCTTCTTAGATAATAAAATATGAAGTATATGGTATGATCGTAAGAATAAATTTCTGATAGGTATATTGCAAAAAAATACGCTTAATTAACAATCAATTTAATTTCTACGATTAATTATATTAATTATTAGATGGAATAAATCATTATTTAAATTGGAAAAATAATCAAAATCAAGAACTTTGACTCGATAATAAACAATATACAAATAAGTTGTTTTACTCGGGATTCACTAATTCCGGATAAATAATATTTTAATTAGTACATTTCTACCTGTCCAAATTTAAAATCTGTAAATCGAAAATAAAAAAATAAGTACCTACATATTAATAAAACTATTAACATTTTTAATATAAAAAAAAAATATCTCCGCCTATGGGCGGTAAATCAAATAGGTCGTGACTTCCGACAAGCAACCTGTAGTTTTCTACACCAATATTTTTTTCGGGTCCTTTAAGGAGGTCCTTTCGCCACCAATGTTAAATAAAAAATATTAGATTATGACTAAAATTAATTTTTTTTCTAATAGTTGAAGTCCTTATTTATCTAATAGTGAATTTTTAACTATACCTTACCGTGCAAATTTTTGAGAATTTTTTTTTTAAAAATGTGAGTATTTGGGACAGTGTCTTATGAGAAAGTAAGACCTCAACAACAATTTTCGAATTATAATTAAGTATACTATTATTCATTGAGTAGAAAAAACTAAAAATAAGGTTTCTGAAATATTTAGATTTTGTTTTTTACTATAAAATATATATGTTACCGTGGAATTTATTGAGAAATTATTATTAAAAAATCACAAAAAATTTTCAACTAGGTTACTTGAAATTTTTTTTTAATATTAATTTCTCAATAAATTCCACGGTAACTTATATATTTTATTGTAAAAAACAAAACCTAAATATTTCAAAAACTTTATTTTTAGTTTTTTTCTACTTCATCTAATCAATAAATAATAGTATAATTCGAGAATTGTTATTGAGGTCTTACTTTCTCGTAAGACACTGTACAAATACATTAAAAAAAAAATTCTCAAAAATTTGCACGGTAAGGTATAGTTAAAAGTTCACTATTAGATAAATAAGGACTTCAACTATTAGAAAAAAAATTAATTTTAGTCATAATCTAATATTTTTTATTTAACATTGGTGGCGGAAGGGGTGGCGAAAGGACCTCCTTAAAGAGAGGCCGAACTTTTTTTTGCATTTGCGGTATTCCATTATAGTTGACTTATTGTTTTTAACTAATAAATTTAAATGTAAAATTAAAAAACATCGATATTAGATAAAAAATCTGATGTGTCCAACACATGACTTTCCTATCTAGTTATTACAGGCTTTTTCCGTTTATTGTGTACAACCTATTGCAGCATCTTTATAAATGTGGATAAACTAAATATATATACATTGTCCACATACATCTACCGCGAAACATTTTTCTATAGATATTCATTGAAAATGAAAATACTGAAAAATTTAAATTTAGCACTTTTCCTACAATTTTTCCATTACGGTCCATTTAAATAAAATCATGTATGAACAAATATTATAGAGATCGATATCGCAAACAACTTTTATTTCAACAATTTTCATAAAAATCAGAATTTTGCACATTTTGTCAAATTTCTCGAATACGGACCATTTCAGGAAATTTTTACATAAGGCAAAAATTATAGATAATAATATTAGAAGTAACTTTTATTTGAACAATTTTCTTCTCCAAACATAAATAACAGATATATTCCATAAAATATATAAACGGCCTCCCATAAAGTACCCCCCCAGATGTTCCGACTTTGTCCAAAATCTAATCATTTCACGTCAGGCCGAAATAAAACTTAAGTTTAAAATTTATTGATTTTTTCTTTATCCGTTTTTGAGTTTTCTTCAAATTTCGAAATTTACACATTTTCTCAAATATCTCGAATACGGTCCATTTTAGAGAAATTATGTAGAGAATAAAAATTATAGAGAATGATATTACAAACAACTTTTATTTGAACAATTTTTATAAAAAAATATTTTTTTTACATTTTGTCAAATTTCTCGAATACGGACCATTTTAGGAAAATTTTGTATAGAACAAAAATTATAGATAATAATATTAGAAGTAACTTTTATTTAAAGAATTTTCTTCTCCAAACGTAAATAACAGATATATTCCATAAAATATAAAAATGACCACCTATAAAGTACCCCCCCAAATGTTCCGCCTCTGCCCAAAATCTAATCAGCTCATTAGACGCTGAAACAAAGCTTAAGTTTAAAATTTGGTGTTTTTCTGTGTATCGGTTCATGAGTTATGCGTTATACAGACACACACACAGACACACACACACACACACACACACACAGACACACACACACACACACACACACACACACACACACAGACATCATCGCGAAAATAGTCAAAACGGATTCAGGGGACCTCAAAACGTAAAAATCCGTCGAAAACTCGAGGTCGAAAAAAATCATGATTCCTATACTTTCCTTATATCTGTATACAGATAGGAAAGTAAAAAACATCGATGTTAAATAAAAACATCGCATAAAAAAACATCGATGAAAACATCGATAATCGAAAGAGAAAAATCGATGTTTTTTTAACATCGATACATCGTGCGCATCCCAATGAACTGGAGTGGGGTAGAAAGCCAATGTGCATATTGTATCAATAGAACAATATGCGACTCTATGGGCGCAGCCATTTTTATTTCTCATCTCACTCGGGAGTATTTATGATAACCATTTTCTGTTTCACTTTGTTATTGTTCAATCCACATGCTGGTGGATCAGACAATAACAAAGTGAAATAGAAAATTGTTGTTTTAAATACTCCCGAGTGAGATGAAAAATAACCTGTCTTTGCCCATAGAGTCGCATGTCAAGCCTATTGACAAGCATTCTACCCCACTCCAGTTCATTGGCGCATCCCTACCTCGCAGTCCTCGCACCAAATCCTCGGATGAAAAAGATGAGCATCTGAAATATTTGTCGATGCTTTACCGAACGTTTACACTTTTACCGCGGAGTGCTCACCTGGTCAATACCGAACGGATATTGTGACGTCGGAGGCATCTGAGGCCTCGCAGATGATTAACCGAACGCACCTGATAATGATAGAAATGTGAATAGATTTGAATTAAACAAGAAATTCCTTACATTACTCTACACTCAAAAAACAAAGGTAATAAAGAGATGAAATATTAAAAAATGTCACCAATAAATATTATTTGTTATTTCAGAGAAATGAAAATAAACGAAAATGTTTAATAAAGTGACGTAAAGAAAAAAATTAAAAATCTGATTGTATCAGAAAGGTGGTTGAAAGCACATAAAAAGGAAGACGTATTTTACAATTACATGCATGGCTAAACGAAACTTTTGAGATTCCCGTGGTTACACAAAATCGGCTAGGCCGGCCACGTAAGTCATTTGGAGAGTCAAGTAATCGAACTAAAAGGTGGAAAGCTGAGGAGATTCGATCTACTTCAGATAAAAAAGTAATCATACATGCTGCTCAAGTAGAATTGCAGAAAGTTGGAAAACGAGATGCTTCCGATGTACTCAAAGATCTCACCAATTTTCCAACACATGCAACTAAATATAAAAAACTTGCTCTCTTACTCCATTACAAGCATTATCAATGTTCGTAGAAGCTGTTTTAACTCGTCGGCAATATGAAATAATTAGAAATACTAATAAAATATTCTTCCCTTGTTATAGCCTTTTACAAAAGGTAAAACAAGAGTGCTATCCACCTGCAGAATCATGAAGTGTAACGTTAAAAGAAGAAAAATTAAGTCTTTTTGCCAGAAACAATTAATTTACTAATATCTGCAAAGCCGTTTGAAGCTGGTAATTCTTCAGAAAGCGAAATGAAAATTTATACGAATAATGTTAGATAAATCTGTGTATCTATATTTTTTATTAATAAATGTAGGTTAATTAAACATTAAAACCATTGTTTTATTTATTAATATCGTTTAGAACCGAAATAGACCAAAAAATAATTTTGGCCGCGTAAATCGTTCAAATACCGCTATGTGCAGCGGCTCGATAATTTTGGCAATCATATCGATAGAAAGTGATTTTTTGGATAATATAAATATGACTGATATTATTTCTGAATTTTCCAGAAACAAAGGGCGTAAAGCTATTTTTATTTTGTGTTTTTATTTAAGATTTGGTAACTTTATTTTTTGTTCAAATTGTTTATTTTAAGTAATAAAATTTATATTTGTGTATTTCAATTGTATTACTTAATTAGCGATAACAATGTTGATTGTACATATAAAATATAAAAAATATATGCGTTAATTTAGCAAAGGGCGCTATGATCACATTTGCACGACGACGCCGGCGCTCAAGAGGGTTACAACGACCCTGGCCATGACCGACAAAGACAAAGATGCGAGCCATGTCTGTGAATTAAATCCAAACTAAAAAGAGAAATAATTAAATGCTCCACCGTACGAGAATTTTTCCAAGGTCTAATTTAGGTTCCTACACTCCATGTTATGTAGATAAGATATGAAGTGAATAATATGTAATAATTATAAAATAATTAAATTTTACACATGTTTTCCTTGGGATAAAATCTAAAGCAAAAAGTAGAGTCTAAAGTATGGCAACGTTGTTAGTGAGTAGATGTAGTTACACCAGCCACAGTTTCCCAAGCAATACGAGTAGGAGAAGCGCATATTTGTGATAATATTCACCTGATGGGAAAATTTAACAAATTTGTTAAAAGTTACCTTTTATACTTATAGAAGATTGTAAGTTTACCTATATCTATAATCGTTTTGATACGCAACAGGTGAGTACAATTAAAAAGAATTGTTTTGTTTGTCACTATACCTATAAAATTAATTATTAAGTAGGTAGGTAATATATTAAAATGAACACGCGACTTTGGTTTATCAAATTCTTTTAAAGTTCTTTTAAAATGTGGTCAACCGTATTAATTTTTTAACCAGTATCTATAGCAGTGGCGGCTTATGGGGAGGTTAACAGTGACAGAATATAGGTATCAGTACAGATGTATGAAAAAAATTTTCAGTATTTTAGAAAGTTTATAATATACCTTTCTAAAACAGTGACAGATTTTTACTTATATCTGTAACGGGATCTATATACTGCTACTGTGAACCCCCAAAATGTTGGTCACGAGCCGCCCCTGATCTATAGACGAACCGAATGTGAGGCACAAAGCTAGAGAGCGTTAGCAGATAGATCATAGTTGCCACATGTTCGCTGTAAAAGCACGGCTATGCGTAATACAAAATAATAAGTACTGTATAAGGCCATACATTGTTTAAAAGTTCTAATACTTTATGTCCATATGATTAAAAAAAGTTAGGTTTGAATTAAATATAATTCATATATTGTCATTTATGAATATTATATATATCTCTAGTTAACAATTTTGAAAGAACTTATAGAACTACTTATAAAACTTAACATTTTTTAACAATTAAATAATGTTATCAATGCCGTTCAAATTTGAATTTCGTTACAATTTTCCACACTTTGAACACGAGCATATTTGGAGACATCATCAGTATTTGAAAATATGGTTTTTAATTAAAAATAATAACCCCACTAGAAAAACCTAAACTAAACAATTATGAGACCATGTTTGTATGATCAACCTTATCCAAAGCCTTAGAGCTCTTTATATATAGATATGTCATCTAGTTGTATTTGGTTATCCAAAACATGAACAGAAATATATTCAATTAGGCATAAATTAATAACTATTCAATGAGTATTAATAAATCTTTGATGATATTGTGAAATATTATCCAGGAGATAGATAAATAAATGCAATTGCAAAGAAAAATAATAATAAATATAGTTTAAAAAAACTAAAAAACACGGTTTTATAATACATCGAACTAAAAAGTGAAAAATAAATATAGTTACAAAAAACCAAAAAAACACGCTTTTAGAGTATATCAAACTAAAAAGTTAAAAATATTTTTTTAACACGCTTTTATTCAAATAAGCTTAAAACAATAATAAATTGAAAATACTAGTATTATTGTGAAAAAAAGCGTCGGGCGCTCGATGTACGAGAAATATGGACAAAGCGCCCCACGCTTTTTTCACAATAATACTAGTATTTTCCATTTATTATTGTTTTAAGCTTATTTGAATAAAAGCGTGTTAAAAAAATTATTTTCAATTTTTTAGTTTGATATGCTCTAAAAGCGTGTTTTTTAGTTTTTTAAACTATATTTATTTTTCACTTTTTAGTTCGATTAATTATTAAAAAAAAATTGCCGAAAAAAAACAATTATTTTTTCTTCAGCGGTGGACGGGATTAGAACCCACGATCGGTGTGTCTGGCGATCGACAGACCCGCGCTTTAGACTGCTCGGCCAACGAACGAACTTGAGGTAGTAGGATATACTGACAGCAATAAGCCACTTGCTTTCAGTCCAAAGGAGAGTTACAAACATACATACAGGTGAAGCTAATATAAGCGTGTTAAAAAAAGTACACAATAATGACATTGGTCTATAAATTTCCGTTTGATTTAGTCATATTTTTATAGTATATTAAAGTATAAGTGGATATAACGCTCTTTAAAACACGCGCGATTTTTCGAGCACGACGGCGCAGCCGGAGTGCTCGAAATAGAGCAAGGGGTCTATTCTGTAACAATTCCTTTATATTTGACGGCCTTTAAAAATATTTGCTGCCTATAAAAACATGTTCGTATTCGTTAATTTACTTCTATCATTTTTTAAACAGATTTCTTTAAGATAGTCCTCTAATGTATTTTAAAGATCCGTTTAAATAGTGACCGAATTAAAGAAGAAAATATTTTTAAAGGCCGTTAAATATAAAGGAATTTTTACAGAATAGACCCCCAAGTGTTTTAAAGACCAGTTATCCACGAATACTTTACGCTATTTTTTTTATTGGTATACTTTTAAATCCTAAATATTGGTATTATTTCTACAAAAAAATGGAAATAAGAACTAATAACTGAAAATGGTTGAATTTGTGATGTAACATCAGTATACCTCGTTATCATGAAAATGAGACAAACAAAAATTTATTTTCAATCTGTCACATAAGATTAATTGTCGCAACAGTTGTTATTGTTTAAAATGAGTTCAAATATTGAGTATTTAAATAATAAAGCAGAATCGCGCTTAATACCACAAAAATCCGAAGCGGTTTATAAAAAGGACTACGATAAATTCAACACGTGGATGGAAGAGCAAATGGTTACACATATAGATGAATGAGCTGTTCTGGCTTATCTCCAGAAAATGTCGGATCAGTACGTACGTTCGCTACCATTATGGCGAATAATGGCATGACAATAGATCAAGTAGGATGGAAATCGGCAGCTGTGGCGACTGGTTGCGTTGAAGAGAGCATTAGCAATAAGAAGATTGTTTCAAATATTATTGGAAGTGCTATTAATGGAAGTACAACTTCATTGACTTCCAACAATGTTAGCAATCTTAATTTGAACAGTATTTCCTCCGATTTAAGAAAACGAAGTTTTAATATTTTAAACAATACTAACTGTACTTTCCACATTTATTTAAACAATTAAGAATGTGAAAAAATATTTGAATAAATTTTTTGAAAAATTTCTCAAAAATATTTTATTTGACATTACAAGGCACTCCTGTCAGATCAATATTTAAAAAGTTGGCATTTAGATCACGTTTCTCGTGTTGTTGATGTTGCCATGGTAACTTTAAAACGCGCGTTTTTTAAAGTTCGTTTTAAACCCGCTGAAGCGTACTTTAAATAAGTAAAATAGGGTACCAATAAAAAAAAATATTATATTGTACATACTATTGTTTCTTTACACATTTCACTATATTTTCAAGTTTTTTTAATGCGAAAAAATATTAAAAATTGGTTTCATAAATTACTTCATGGAATATATCTAAAGGTCTAGTTTAACAATGTACACTCAAAGTCTTAAATTAAGGTCACCAGTGTGTAATTTTTATAATCTATATAAATCTAAGGAGTCCATTACAAGGAATAAAGGAGGACACTCGAATTCCCGTCAAGTACAATTTTAACCATTATCCGTTCCTAGAATTCCCGACAAGCAGTTGAAGC